GTTTGCGAAGGCTGACATACACGCGCCTGCGCTGTTTGCGGCGGTGGCGGAGGAGGCTACGCCGCGGCTGGGCGAGTTCAATGAGCAAGAGCTGTCCAACACGGCGTGGGCGTTCGCGACGGCGGGCGAACCGTCGCCAGCTCTATTCGCGGCGGTTGCAGAGGAGGCTGTGCCGCGGCTGGGCGATTTCACCGCGCAGGGCCTCTCCAACACGGCGTGGGCGTTTGCGAAGGCTGACACCCATGCGCCTGCGCTGTTTGCGGCGGTGGCAGAGGAGGCTGTGCCGCGGCTGGGCGAGTTCAGCGCACAGAACCTCTCCAACACAGCGTGGGCGTTTGCGAAGGCTGACACCCATGCGCCTCTGCTGATTGCGGCGGTGGCGGAAGAGGCGGTGCCGCGGCTGGGCGAGTTCACTGAGCAGGAGCTGTCCAACACGGCGTGGGCGTTCGCGACGGCGGGCGAACCGTCGCCAGCTCTATTCGCGGCGGTTGCAGAGGAGGCTGTGCCGCGGCTGGGCGATTTCACCGCGCAGGGCCTCTCCAACACGGCGTGGGCGTTTGCGACGGCTGACATCCCGGCGCCTGCGCTGTTTGCGGCGGTGGCAGAGGAGGCTGTGCCGCGGCTGGGCGATTTCACCGCGCAGGGCCTCTCCAACACGGCGTGGGCGTTTGCGACGGCTGACATCCCGGCGCCTGCGCTGTTTGCGGCGGTGGCAGAGGAGGCGGTGCCGCGGCTGGGCGAGTTCACTGAGCAGGAGCTGTCCAACACGGCGTGGGCGTTTGCGACGGTTGGCGCGCCGACGCCGCAGCGCTTTGACCTCGCGTTTGCCGCACGGTGCGAAGCTCTCTCGCACGAGCTGACAATAAAAGGCCTCACTCAGCTGCACCAGTGGCAGCTCTGGTACGCCGATCGTGGCCTTGCTTCGCCGCTCTCGGCGCCGCTCTCGGACCGCTGCCGCAATGCGTATGACCGGGCGTGCGCTCCCCAGTGGCCTTCGCAGAACTAGATTCTCCTCTTTCTCTCCAAGTTTTCTTTTTGTTCCGCGAAACAGAAAGAAATGATCTGCAGAGCGCACGGACCCACTCTCCCGCCTCTTCGCCGCCGTCCCCCCTCCACCCTCGGCTCGTGTTTGAGCGTACGCTCGAGGCGGTTGTCTTCGTAGGAGGGCCCGCCGGTGAGACCACTGATCTGGGTGTCGACCATAAATTCTCGCCACTGGAACACATGCTACTTACAGCTGCTGTC